TCTCCACACTGCCCAAGATTACGACATACTGCACACTCTTGCAGTGAGTTAGTGCAACTTAGTTTCTTATCTGCCCTCATACAATATTTTCAGTCTGAAAAATAAACAAGGTAATAAATGCTCTTAGTAAAAACAAAATAGCTATGTAATTAATTTTTTCTTTTTAATATTTTCATGGTAAAAGTTTTTCCCATGTAATTATCTCAATATGCATCAATTTTCTGTATGAAATTAATTTTACACTTTTTCACTCTACCCTCCCCCCTTAAGCATATTTCTGGCTTTTTGCTGTTACAGAATTGGTAGGGGTAATTTTTCTTTAGGATTTAGACACTGCAACTTGGAAACTTTAGAAGGATTTGAAGACAAGATTTATAGACACATGAATCTAGAAGATTCCAGAAAAATGTCTTCATGGTATTAACATGTAATGGATGCATTTTACAAAAAGTCTGTGATGAACTTTTACTTTTTGGTGAATTTTTGGAAGAACAATGAAAACATAATATTTGAATGTTTTACTTCCGATACTAGAAGTCTTTTTCTTAACGTGTTTATTTTCCCTTTGTTTTCTCTACTTTTCAAGCATGGAAAATATCAAAAATACTTCTAATCTTATCACATGAACATGCATTTATAGAAAGGAATTTTTCAATTAATAAAGAAATTGAAAGCTGACAATTTAAAAGATTTATCTTATATCTCTCATTGCATCATCAGTGGTGTAGCTAGGGTGGGGCAAGGGGGGAAATCTGTCCCTACGCGTAGCATCCATGGGATGCTAAATTGATGTTACAGAATTTTAGAATGAAATGTTTTTAATTCTTGGCATACAGAAGGGGGGCACAAAATCTTAAGTTGTCCCCAGGCACTGAAAACCCTAGCTAAGGCTCTGTACATCATATACAGGTCTGGTGTTATGCATTTTCTCACCTCATGCAATGTCTGTGGATCCTAAATTGTGCTGCCTAGTTTTTTCCTAAATTCTAAAATTTTGCCATTTCTAGATTTTGTTGCTCAGCATGTCACTAAATTCTAAAAATTCTGCTACACCAGTTTATTGCTACACACTTATTGGAACCTTAAAATAGATTAACTGGATTAATTACAACTCCAGGAACTCTACACGAGGTTATGACAATAACTGTGTCAGACAGACTTTCACAACTTGCCAGCCATGCCTGCATCAGGCTTTCAGGTTTGTTTTGATCAGCAGGCCTCTCTCTAGGCAAGCAGCAGTGGTGGCAAAAGCCAGTCTTCTGTAATGAATCGTGATTATGATTTTACTTTTCATTTTAACCTATGGCATTTGACATAACATCTACCTGCTATTTACTAAACCTCTGAACTGAGCTAGTAAATGACAAAATGATATATAAAAGAAAAAATCAACATGAAGCTAACTGTTAGTAAATAAAATATCACTAATCTTCTTTCAAATATGTCCAACTATTATAAGGGTAAAATATTTAATGCTACCTGATAAATTTTATGAAGATGATTTTATTCTCAAATTAGTTTTATAATTGTGTTTAATAATAATGCATTCTACTTGTGGACCTATTTTATTCTTAGGAAGGTATCACAAAAGTGAAGTTCAGGCATAGCTAATATCTTGACTGAATTTAATCAGTTCCCATTTGTTGAAGGGTCCTTAAAAGTACTTAATTTCCATATGCAGAAATGTGTACAAACCCTGTAAATATTTATTAGGCATTATTAATAAAACTTAAAATAAGGAGTAAAAGTTAATTTGAAAATTTAAGGTTCAAAATAACTGTTGCAATTCATTGAAGATTATAACAAATATACCAATTTTCAAAACATGGTTACACATGAATTCTGATAAATCTTGGGACAATTGGAATAAAATATTCTAATTTTCTTGCTGGTATACCTAGATATACATCTACTATAAGATGTTGGTAAAAATATCATAAAATTTGGTTTGAAAATTTTTATTTTAAAATACAGATTTAAAAAATAAATCAGAAAAAATGTGCGAATTCTATTTGGACTGAGCCTAAATTTCGAATTCTGAAAGAAGAAAACAAGCAAGCTTATTAAGGAAAAAAAAAAAAAAAAAAAGATATTAATAAATATATACCAAATTCAATTAAAATTGAAGAACTAAAATTTTGAGACCTAATTTTTCAAAAACTACTTGGGCGATTTTTACGAAACCTGGCACTTTGGCATGATTTGAGGTATAGGAGCAGTATATGTAGAAAAAGTCAGTATGTCTTTTCAGAAAAAGCCCAATTTTATGTAAAAATACCTATGTAAGAACAAAGATGTATAGAAATCTAATATATATCCTCATTCACATTTTTGAGACATGAAAAACAAAAGTTGAACTTCATAAATTCACCAAATAGAATGGAAGATACAGAACTGCTTTTTTTTTTTACTTGTTGTACTTAGATATGTATACACACACCAGGATTAATTCATTATTTAGTAAACCCTCCATGAGCTGTGATGACAGCCTTGCAGTGGTCCAGTATAGAAGATATCAACTTTTGAATGTAATCTTGGGCAGTTTCATGGAACCAAATCTTAATAATGCTTTCTCGCAGTTTAATCTTAGTAGCAATTTTAGTACCCAATATATGCGAACAATTTTGAATGGAATTCAAATACCAGATTTTGTCAGATAGGCCTGCACCTAAAGGAGAGAAATAAGGGAGGGAGGGAATTATTTTTGTATATCTGTTATGTTGTGGAGATGAAAAACCTGTAAATGAGGCAACTAAATCATGCATAAATAAGTTGATCGTACTTACCAATTTCGCTGTACAACAGAGTGCCGAGTCCTGTTGAAAAATGCAATTTTCAGCAACTTTAAACACTCTTCCAAAAAATTCAGGCATTCAACCCCTAGGATAACCCTTTGGATAAGCATCCTCAGACAATTTGGCTCACTGTGAATTTCACGGTAGACAATATGCAGTTTGGATAATAAACTTCAAAACAAGCTGCTTAGCATCTGATCCATGGTTGGATTTGGATTTATCTAAAAAAATTATAGCTCTATTGAGCCGTTTGCTGTGAAACATGCTTTTTCGCCCAAGAAACTCACTTCTGCAATTTTTTTTTTTTTAATTTTATTTTTATTTTTAAGTAAAGGCTTTTTTCTTGGAGCAATACACATGCAGACTGCATTCTGTGAGGCATATTTAGACAGTTCTTACACTTGAATTAACACTGCAGTCTTTCTCTAATTCAACTTTTAAATCAGCAGCACTTGCTGATTAATTATGGAGAGACCTCCGTTTTAGATATGTCATCAGATTTTGTAGTCACCATCTTTCAGACTGATCTGGCCCTTCTCTCAACATCAGCAGTTTCATGCTCCAATTTAATCGCTCTTGAGATTGTTGATTGATCACAGCCAATTTTTTCAGCGGTCATGCATGTTGAATATTCTTGTTTAGCTAAAGCAACTGCCACACATTTCCCTCCCCTTTGCATCGACTGAGTGTATGGAGCCATTCTTTCATCACTTAAGGAAAGAGACAAATGACCATTTTCCTGTTTAGCCATGCTATTTATAGAAATCGAATGACATGATACTTCAGAATCTGTGTATGGTGCAATATGAATGTGGAATGATCTTATATCTTGCTTTTCAGCAATAAGATAATTTTATATTAACAAAATAATGCATTAATATTACAAAATGTTTTATTTTTCTAGGCGATGGAATTTTTTTTTTGAAGAGGGGAGGGGGTCCGGCACTGTATTTTTAAACTTTGAAAAGATATAACTTATTTGTGTAAAAATTCTCTTGGGATACCAAATGTAACAAAATTATAAATTAAAAGACACAAAAATATCATTGAACAGCATTTAAAAGGAAAAAATCAAACTTAAATTATTCTAATTTATTTACCAACCAAACTTTCAATGCAAATTGAAATTGACCTGAAAATTGCAAATTTTGAATTTAAATATTTTAGTCAATTTCCTGCTAAATGGAAATCAAACTTTTTGCATTTTATTTTTTGATAACGAGTACAAGATTTTCATAAGTATAGGAACAAGAGGACAAGTTGATTTCATAAATTTTACAAAATTAATTTCTTTAAATTTAAATATGCCAAAACATGAATATTTACATCATTTAAAACATTTTTGTCATTGGAAGTATATGCTTACAGCCAATGGTTGCAAAAATAAAAGCTAGGTAAGGACTTTGTTGACATACTCAATGTTATCACAGTTTATAAAATCGAGCTTAGGACACGGGGGGGGGGGGGGATTGGTATGGATTTTATACATTTATTCACTCTTAGGGCAACTAATATAGATGCATTTTCTGCTTCAGGTAGAATCAATATTAGTTGTCTGTGAAATCAATCACAGTTTATATAAAAATCTCAGCCAATCTATTTTTGTTAACCTTGCTTTATAACGGAAATTAATACTTGAATTGATACCATTTTTTTTTATAAATACTGTGAAATTTTTAATATCAATCCAGATCATTGCAACTCTGAATGAAAACTACTCCATGAACCCAATCCTGACACATATAAGAGCTACTAAAAGAATACCTGGAGGCCCATTTTACAATCGTAATTTATCTTCCTAACGTAATTGCAATTCACCTGTGATTACGTCTTTATAGTTATATAAGCATAAAATAATACAGTTAAATAATGAATTAACAAACTAGACAACCATAGTTAGTACTGGTTCACTGGAGCAGCATATGTGATGTGAACTATGGGTCTCGTGGTGCTGTGCAATAATCTTTAGATAATAAGCCTTTGCATTTTCAGATTCTACTTAAATAACTGCAATTTTTAAAAAGATTAATTTAAAAATAAAATTTAGAAGCTGAATTTAAAAGAACAGTGAGAATGTGAGAGACTGTAAAGGAAAAAAAAGGCAAAATGCTGCACACAGTAGTGTCAAGTTAGTGTACATGTATGTTGAGATGTTTTGAAATGTGCATATCAATGTTATCAGGTAGAAAATACATTGTCAAAAAATGAGGTTCTGATGTATTCATTTATTTATTTTTGTTGTTATATTGGTAACAATAACTGTTTTGGAGTTAGAAAAGATAATAATACAATTCTGTAGAGAAGCAAACTCTTTATATTCATGCAAGCTAGATGAATACAGACAAATGTACTGAACTGAACAATGATACAAACTCTGTGGCTCTTAAACTGGCCCCTTTTTAAGCAGTTCAATATTAGATAATATGGCTACCTTGCTAAAAATACTCATTTACTATTATAAACTAAATATATGACTTCATTAATTTGAGGTTCAGCATATAATAGTTTATTGTTTTATTACCAGAATTATTAATTCAGATTCCAAAATATATCCAAATGCAACTAACCACTGATTTTTTTTGGGGGGGGATATAACTTTCTTATGAAACATAGTATTACAAAACAATTGCTGCATATACCAATTTTCTTACTCACCATGTACATACAATGATGGTATAAAACATGCAGAAAATGAAGCTAAGAAGGAAGCAATTAATGTCAATAGATATTCTGAAAAATAATTGCACTCTTTTTAAATATTTATATTTTGAATATAATTGAAACACAAAATAAGTTAGCAGATTAAATCATGTGAAACTTTTTAATACTTTAAGGTATTAAAAGTTATATAAGTTTAATTATATCTTCAAAACCAACTACCATCTTTTGCTTTCTTATATTTTAGCATCTGCATACTTATAGCATTTGCAACTTGTTCTGCTGTTTTTGTTTGCCCGTAGTAATCCACAAACTCCCCTTCGGGATCTACTAGATAATGTATAATTGTATGATCAACAATATAATCATCATCTACATCTTTTGGACCGGCACTGTAATAAACTCTATAAGCTTTAGTTACTTTGTGAACCTGGTCTTTAGTTCCCGTAAGTCCAACAATCTTAGGTGAAAATTCTTTGATATATTTAGCCACAGCTTCAACAGTATCTCTTTCTGGATCTACTGAAATAAATAAAGGTATAAGTTTAGGTAAATCTTTTGATTTTTCAAGATCTTCAACAACTTCAACCATCTTTTCAATTTCATCAGGACATACGTCAGGACAATGCGTGAATCCAAAATATATCAGTAGCCAATTCCCAAAAAAATCTTCACTCTTGACAGGTTTCCCAGTATGATCAACCATGTCAAATCTCCCACCAATTGCTGCTTTGCCTATTTCTCGTCGTCTTTCTTTCTCTAAAGCAAGTTGTTTTTCTTTTTTAACATACAGCATTCCTGTGAGGAAAATTCCACCAATTCCAAATGTCACAAAAAGTGTTTTCCATGAAATAGGTCCTTTTCCTTTACCATAGTCCTTCTTTTTTGGTATATCATCAACACTGCTCATATTCCTAAAATATTCTAAATTCATTCTGAAATTACTGTTAAAATCCGTCTTTAAATTTCTATTCATCAACTGAAAGCAATAAAATGATTTATTTTTTGCATGCGAAGGGTTAAAACTCGCCATTTTTCTGATACATGGTAAAATTTGTCTTTGGATCGCATATTTTTGTAGAAATTTACTAGGCATTTCAGCAAAGCACAACACAAACATCGTTATACAAAATTGAAAAGCAACCAAACCTGCTAAATTATGGCAAAAATATTTTCCGTAATTAGAGTATTAAAATTCCCAAATACTAATCTTGTTAGAATACTTTTTTTTTTTTTTTTAGCCCGATTAATCGCTGTTACTTTTCATGAATAATACTAAGAACGGATTTCAACTTCAAGTTGACGCTTGCATAACACTCGTGTAAGCAGCCATATTGTTTACGATCGGTCAACGTTAAGTTGAGTCGTAATACTGCTGTTTTCGATCTGATTCGTAATGCATTGTTCAGTATTATCAAACATTTTATTTCACGTTAATATAAAAAAGAAACAGTATTTTGTTTTCGGTATTGTAAAAAAGTTTTAAAATGTGTTTTGTTTTTCAAGCAAAAACATTTTTAAATACTCTGAAACGCGTTTAATGTATTTTTGTTAGTAGTCCATGATCTGCGAAGTAAAATTTGTAAAAACTAATTTTTAATTTTTTCCTTTTCTGTACTTTACTTGCATTAGTATGCGTGTATCCAAGTATGCGTGTGTATCTTTTTAAATGAATGAGGTAATGACAAAATACTAGTATTTGGAATATGGATTAAAAGGTTCATTAAATGCTATGCTCAATATTTGCTGATCCTTGTTCATAGTTGTTTGCTTCGTACTTTTTAGTAAATCTTACGTATTGTATATGCATGCATGTGTAGTTTATAGTATATAACAGGGTATTTCCTTTTATAGCGGTTTTGACAGGACAACAAATCTAACTTTCTGAACTCTGAATTGGTTACTGTAATGACTGTTACATGTCGCTTCAGATTTGTCTGCGACGTCGCTTAGACCTGAGCTGAGAGTTGATTATGCAAAGTGCTTACATAGCATAAACACTTAGACAAACATTATGGTGTACTTAACCTAAGGAGTTACACCATAATGGTGTGTACTGTCATTATGGTGTAATTCTTCTTCTTGAGATTGAGTTTGTAAGGTATCAGGCATCTCTGCTAAATAGCATTTTGTGCCAAACGCACCAAGCCCAATCCTCTCTAGCTCCATTTGTTTAGGTCGCCCACTTTGCTTATAAAGTCTAACAGTCCCTTAATACAGCTCAGCTCTTTAGTATTGAGAATACCTAAAGTAGTCAGCGTTATCAAAAGTTTAAGGTCTGTAGCCTGCTCCTGCGATAAACGTTTTTCAGGATGTCGCTCAATGAGTACGGCATCTTTCGGCAGTCGTCGGGGCTGTATTCTGCTCCATACTTTGAAATTGTCTTTTTTCACCTTTTCCCATGGGTTTTTTTCAACCGAAATACCTTTGGCAATTTTCAGCTTTCGGGCACGTTTCTTTTTATGTTATCTGGACATTCTCTTTTTCATTTTGATTGCAATTTTGAACATAACTGAAAAAATACAGCTTAAAATTTATTCGCTATACTTCCTTACCGGGTAGTCCGTTAACATTCGAAAGTTCAATAATTCACTGATTAATGTAGTTAAAGAGATAAAAACTGACACACATGTTTGAAATATCGGGGGTTTTACTGAAAGTAAAAAAGTGCTTGAAATGGTCATAAAGTTTAAAATAATAAATTTTTATATGCTTAAAAGTTCTTAAGATGGCGCTTCGTATGATAACAAAAGCAATAATTGTCATAACAATTAATTTTTAGCAAAGTCTATGTTCTTTAAAACAAATGTTCAACTTGTTGACCGTCATCCATCAACAATACCTGTAGTCGAGAGACGTGAACAGCACTGTACAGCATATCTGTAGGTATGGTGAGAAATTGCCCTCGGATGTTGTCTTTTAACATCCCTTATGAGGTCGTACGATTGCGGTAGGCTTGCGATTTCAGAAAACCCTACTACCAATAATCACACGAATTAAGATCTGGGGACCTGAGCAACCAATCATACCGGAAGAGGCGGTTCAGCATGTGATTATCACCAAACGATGTGTGCAAGAGATCTTTCACACGTGTAGGAATATGTGGTGGAGCGCCATCTTGCGTAAAAGTCATATCTTCCAACAAGTGTTTATCAGCCAGTCTAAGGATAATGCGATTCTGTAACATAGCACCGCAGCCATCACAGTTTGAATAGCAGAACCATTTTCTTGCAGAAAAAGGTCCGATCACGACTGACGTGATAAACCCACATCACACTGTAACCAACATCCGGAGGTGAGGATAGAAAAGTGACAAAGGGACTGATTCGTTATCTTACTACAGCTCATTTCGTATACTGTTCTCATGTGGCGTCACTGATATCTTCCTGCCCAGCGCCATATGTTGGCCTTTTTTGCATTTTCCCCTTTCAATAAAACCCCATGTCATTTCAAGCATGCATGTCGATTTTTCCTCTCTTCCTATATTATTTCGTGAATTATTGAATTTTCGAATGTTAACGGACTTTAGGGTCATCCGTATATTTCAGGTACTAATTTTTCTATACATATCTCGAGTATATTATTTCACTGAATAAAGTATTGTTTTACAGTGTTAAAAATCTGTCTAATATGATTCAATGATACATGTTATGTGCCTGTATGTTATTTTAATAAGAAATATAACAGTAATTGTCAGTCAGCTTCACAATGTATCCTGACTGCTAATTTCATCAAAATGCCCAGGACACGTTCTTTATATATCTATTTTGAAACTCTCATAACTTTATCAACCAATTGAGTTAATAATAGAGTATAGCCTTTAAACAGATCTAATTGTTTCACATATTTTCCATAGACTTGATAATCTTTCAAATGAAAGCGTTTGTAAACTAATAAATCAAAAGTTGGAATATAACTAATATATTAAATATACTAGCATAATAAATTATAATCGCACATACACATTCTTGATAAAAACTATTTTCCAATCCATAGTACTCTAATCCGTTTCTCTTTTCGGCTAACATGAACCTTAGATCCAAAAGAAGATTTTCTTAACTTACTCTTTAGATTCGGAAACTTATGGAAACTTAGATCCGGATTTTTAGAACTTTTTGAAGTACACTGAGGAACAAAACAGTTAGGATTATCTTTTATGTTATACGCTATTTCCAAAAAATTCTCCTTTATGCTACACGGAAATAAGTTATGAGCATTTGCATCAACAGTTCGTAGATCGTTTTCACTAACAGTACGCCATTTGGGCTGCTATTTTTCTTTTAATGGATTTGCTACTAGAGAGCGAATGCTTCGCTATAATTGCGGCAATTATAATTCGCTAAAATTTATTTTCTCAATGAATATGCTGAATTCAGTATTGTAGACATATTTCATCTTCCAGTTAATTCATCAAGACAAACGTCTAAAACGCTATGTACCTAAGGAAACGTTATCTTCTTGAAGGATTTAGGCTACTGGCTCAATTATCTTCATATATATAGTGAATAACTTTGCACATGAAAAAACTCGCGAAACGTTCTATCAACTATCCCGTTCTCGGAGATATTCATCGTATCAGGTCGAGCCATCAGTGTTTAGCCGTCTATCCATAAATGTTTGTACGTTTTTGGCTGTCTTTCTTTCTCAGCAGGTTAAACCTTCGGTTAATTCAATTGAACAAATTTTGCTTCATCGCCGTTAACCGCATGTTTTTGTGATATAATTTTATTTTACTTGACTGTCATGTATTTAATTATGATGGAATCTAATTATTTTGTTATTATTGTTTTTGTTATTACTTAATCAACGTGTGTTTCTATAATTTAGCTTATGATATATTGCATAATTATTTACAAAGAATGTTAGATATTAAAAACATTCCTCTCTTGCGTTTTTGTGATCTAGTAATCAGCATATCCATCTTGCAGTTAGATCTTGGATTTAATTTCTGGTGAGAATAGGTTGATTCCTCTCGTCTCACGGGAAATATTTTAATATTCTGTGCAAGAGTTACTCTTGTGAAGTGTTTTTTTTTTCCGTCAGTTTATGAAAACTGACGAACTTTTGCATAAGCATAATTTTCAAGTCTATAATTTGAATCGAGAGACCTACAACTTTGTATATAAAAATTATTAAAATTATATTGCAAAATTTGTGTACCTTTAACTTAGTTACTATTCTTGAAGTCTATGAAAGTATTTCTTTTTCCCATAGGTTGCCATTGCTGCCTATCTGGAAGGTTTGGAAAAGACTAATTTTGATGTATTTCAGCCTAGAAACCAACGAAGAAATAATTTATTACCTCTTGTACTATGGATGTATAAATTTCGGAAGATGTATTAACATTTAAAATATAATAATGTAATGTAATTTAATGCAGACTGTAAATTAATTTGAATGCTGAATACCGTGCCTAGTAGTCATTATTTTCCTGTATTTCTTACCGTGTGTTTCAAATCTGCTACCGTATTGGTCTGAATATGGGATGAATTTGTATTTTTTTAAATGTTTTGCGCGGAATAAGATTGTAAACTAGAACGTTTCTACGTAAAACGTTGTAAGAAACCTTGCTAACGAAAATATATAGAGTTTATTACTCTTCCAAGTTCCCATACTTTTAAAATGACATTTTTATTATTGTTTAAAAAATGGAAGAACAATGTCGTATTGTAATAAATGACGCGCATGTCTCCAGCTTGAATGGCAAGGATCGGGAAAACATTTTCACCCTAAATAAAAATATAATATATGCATATCCAATATAAAAATGTATTTATTCTTCAGAACGTCATAGTTTACTATTTATATTTTTATATTGTTATTCCAAAGTGGTTCAGACGTAGCAAATGAATTCTTTTTTTCATTGTGATGAGGATTATAAAATAAAAATCATGGCAGGTCATAGGATGGAGCTAAGGAGAAAGACTGCTTTTTCGTTCACCTTATCATAGATCTTTTAAGATGTTCTAGAACAAAGGATACTCTATTTAAAACAAAGCTAAATAAATATAATTTTTAACTTTAAAATTTGAGGAACTGATGAGTTTTGTTAATACGCTGTTTAAATTTTAGGCTGCATAATAAGAACGGTTGCATTAATTTTGAGGGAGAAACAAAGTTTTATATTTCTCCCTCTAATATTAACAGTGCATAATATATTGCAGTGCTTCGTGCGAAATTTCTTATCGAAATGTTACCTTTTTCCCAGAAATAGGTTCTAGAATTTTCTGTGTAAATTAGCCTTAGTAAAACTATAGTTACTTCACATTGTAGAGACATTAGGTACTTTTTTGAAAGCAGACAAGATGAAAAATAGCAAACGCCTTCGCCGGGAAACGAA